TATGTCTTGCTTAAAAGATTGACACTATACCCTGAAGAAAACATTGGTGAATACTAATATGGTTTCAGAAAAAATAGACGAAGTACAGATTAAATCTTTTTCATCCGGGAAATTTTGGAACTCAACCTATTCTTGAATTTTGAATAAGCCTACAACATTATTGAAAAAAAAATTATGGATGATAATAAAAGAGCAAGGTTTCCCTCAAAAACTAATAAATATGACAAGACTTTGTGTCGAAAACTCTAAATCCAGTGTTAAAATCAGTCATTAGATCACCGACATTTGTAACTACGACAGTGGAGTAAACAAGATCTTATATCTCCACTTATATTTAACATTGTTTAGAATGGGTCGTTCTCGTTAGTAAGGTGTAACAGACCCAGGGGGATTTCCACTGGGTGGCAAGCTTATGGACAGCAAAATAGACCGTACTCAAATTATGTATCATCAGTTAAATGCATCGGCAGGCGAAGTCGGAATGATTGTCAATACAGACAAAACCGAAGAATTCTTCTTGATGGGCCTATCCGTTACGAATGTTGGCGATCATTATGGAAATCTTTATCTTATCTGCAAGAGCGCGGAAAAGCTGCACAGACGTTGTATTGAACCAGATTCTGAGGTTCTTTAACTAAGATATTCTTCTTCTTCCTGGATCTTGTTTTCCAAATATTTATTCTTGCAGGATGCAGAACCAAAGAATAAAATTATCAAAATTACTGTCAAAAAATCTAAAACTAATAATCTATAATACCAGAAGGCCAGAAGTATTATATGATTACGAGGCATGATGCCTAACACTAACAACACCGCCTCATTACGTTTAAAACTAAAATATTAAAAAATAATCTAGAATCCAAGTAAGATCCTGAAGGTAATTGGAAGATTCACTTCAATGCAGAAATTAAAAACCTCTCTAAACAATCTCTATTAACAAGCATAGTTAGATCCCGGACACTTGCATGTATGGGTGATATCCTGAAAAGTGGTAATGAGCGAGATACCAGAAATATAGCTGTATAGATGCCAGTTGGAAAGCCTCCATTAAGTCATCCGGGACAAAGACTGGTTGACAACATCAAAAGAGGTCTCCAGGATGTATCTGCACTATTGGAAAGAGCTGTAATTTACTGCAAAATGTGGTAAATCTCAGGGAGGCTAAAACTCTTGGAGGGTTGTATGGATATCGGAAGTAATTAAGTATTGTAAATAGTTTGTTTTTGAACACACTGTTAATGTAGTTCTTTAATTTCATAACTTAGTTAGATCAACTCACATTTTCAATAAATATTTTTCGTCCTAAACCTTAATTCTTAGGGCTTATATTTAATTCTATAATAAAGTTTATTTATTATTTGTTTTAGGTACTAAAACCAAACAATATTTTACCAAGCTGTATTTGTACTTTTTGTGTTCAACCTAAAAATACGAATGTATACCTATCTAAAAATTAAATTGTATCTAATCGAAGTCTTTTCTTCCTTTTGAGTCACTAATAGTGCCTACTATATGAAAGGAATAAATAAGTTAACTACATTTAAGCTAAAATAGAATATCAAAAAATATAACAAATTAAATTATTGAACTATTTTAAGATTTTATATAAAAATTGTTAAATAAATGCCACTTGTATAATGTTTATGGACTTTGTATTCCAACTTAAGTAATAAAAAACGTCTCCCAATTGTTTTAGAACTTATTTGAATAAGGTGAAACAAGCTTTTAATAAAATATATGTTAATTTTAAAATTGCAGCAGGGCCTTAAGAGGTACAGTAAAGATATGTAAGGCAATTTGGGACAGGGTCATTAAAATAAAACAACTAAAAAGTTTTTCCATTCTAAAAAATGTCATTAAAGAAAAAAGAAAAGGAACATCATGGCCACAAAAAATTGGTGACAAATCTTTGCATACTCGTTTTGATATTGGGCGACTCTAAGAAGTGCATGGGCGTCAAGGTTTGTCCATTCCCTTTAATTTTTTCTCTCTTCCTATTCAGCACGATACTTCAGTGTTGGTTATATGACCTGTTTAGAAAATTAGAAGGATTCTCCAGAACACCCACATTTAGATGGATGGCGTCTAGACAATTCATGACGTGAGCTTTTATTATTAAAGTCTTCACCCCACACAGCAACACTGTGTAGCATTTCACAAAATGGCACCGTACCGTTAAATGAAGACTCTTCTAGGTCAAAGTCTTTAATTATCCAGCTTCTTAGATCTGTGAACTTGATGAATATTGTTAGCGAGCCCGAGACTTGACGAATAAGACCAATTTATATTTCACATCTGCCATAAATTTTTGTATATACTGTTTTTAAGAACAGTTTTAGGACCTGACTTAATAATGATCATTCGGAACTAGTCTTAACCATGCGTTAGGTTTATTCGGAATAGGTACAAAGGTAGACTTGGGCAAGTTCTGTTGTATTTGCAAGGTCTCATATATGTTGTTGAATATTTTACGTGTGAATCCATATTCATGGGGTGTAATTGGGATATTGATGTGCATCATATAGTCTCACCTGTTCAAATGTCACCCTCTCCACACGTATGATGATCTAGATTATGATCATTTGGTGCGTCCTGCTAGATAACTAACGAAGTTCAGACCTCCGAGTATTTGCCGGAATGAGCAATCCAACATTTACTGGCCAACGGCTTCGGTCAGATGATCTGGTAAGTAGAAGGGCACTCTGTTGTCCTAAGACTATAAAATTGGTCTCGAAGGCAAAAACACCAAGAAAGTGGTCAACGACAACATCAGAATGCAGAAGGCATCGAGAAATCACTGCATTAAAGGGCCCTGATGATATCTCTAGTGAAGCTATTATGGCAAATACAACTAAAGTGGAAACTGTTATTAATCATGGAATACGGAAGCAACGATTCAACAGAGGAAGTGATCTCCCTTCTCCTAGGTCGTAACCCAGCGAAACCCCTGTGACAGAACTGGACAAGTCTCTTTAGAATTAATTATTAAAATATGTACTTGAAACGTGAAGACAATGTATCAGGCTGGAATACTTCATATTACCATTCAAGAAATGATAAGACTTGGAATAGGTATGAAATTTTTGGGAGATATACCATACCAAGTCACCTAGGGATCGATTACACGGAAAAAGAACCACCAGATCTCAATCATTTTGATACCGTAGGTATTTGAGATGAGTGAATTTTTTCCTTAAAGGGAATAGTGCCTACCCTGAGCCGGATGGCTAAATCTGGGATAATAATAACAATAAGTGATTGAAAACGGATAGAGAGAGTCTCCAGCGAAAAGTAAGAACACTTTTCACAAAAGCGAAAAAACAACATCCACGCAGTGAGGTAGAGAAAACATTACCGAGATATCAAGAAAAAAAGGACTTATAGACGTATTTGAGAAACTGGATAAATACCTTGCTAATTTAAGAAATTATTTAGGTGAAGGCTGAGACATCTCCTTTACATCGAGCAATTTGCGCAGTAGATTATACAATGCCGCTTAAACTAAGGGAACAAGAAATGCGCATAAACCACTTGACTAAGCAAGAAAACATACGCAGCTGGATGGGTAAACCTCTGCATGCCGACATCTCAATGAGATCAGTAAAGAATATGCCGACAGTACAGCATCAAACTATTGGTTGACATCAGGAAAGATGCTTCCCGAGACTGAGGGGTTCCTACTTGCCATTCGGAATCAGGTTATACCAACTAAAAATTACCTAAAATATATTGTTAAAGAAATCCAACATCTTACCGAATGTTCCACGTTTGTTGGTACTGATTATAAAGAACGCCATGACTCAGTAGGAAAGATTATCCACGAAGAACTAGCTGACAAACTGGGACTTCTCCAAACAGACTAACTTCCTTATTATTATCAATAGGTCCCTGACAGAATGTTTGAAAATGACAACTACAAGGTACATTGAGATCGCACTGTCTTCACAGAACAAAGAGTAGCACATAATACACCAGATCTCATACTAGTTAATAAACTTACTAGGCAAACAACACCTATTGATGTGGCGATACCTAGATAGAGACCACGTAACTAATAAGGACGTTTCATTAAGAATGCAAAAAGAAAAAGAGGGAAGAAAAAATACTTCGGTCAAATCATAAGGAATAGCGAAAGATATGAGTTGCTGCAATTAATTTTACATGGAGAAGTAGAAGGAAAATTAAGATGAGGAAAGCGAAGGATTTCCTGGCTGAAAAATCTACGTACGTGGTTCAACACAACAACCACAAATCTTTCCAGAGCAGCATTATGCAAAATACAGATTGACATAATGAAGATACATATTTTTATCATTTAGCATCTTTATTATTTTCTGTATTGGTATAATATGCATATTTTCTGAGTTGTTAGGTATACGTTTTCTATAGATGGATAGTTCTTTATCTAGTAACTTATAATGACATGACATTTAGGCAAGCTAGCTAGATTTAAAAAGAAGGAAGAAGCATAAAGCTTTTACAGTTATCTCAAAATATTCCTTAATGTTTCTTTAAACAAAACCTTCTCTTGTCTTCAATTTCAATAACTTCTCAGCTACTAGATTTAATCATATTCTTTTATTTACATTCATATGTAATATATTTAATATTTTTTATTATCTTGTGTAATTTTAAAGCCATTTATTTTGCTACAGTTAAATATTATGACGTTAGGTCTTGAATCTGCTAAAACCTCGTTCAGACCTCGTAAAATTTATATTTTTCCTTCTTTTTTTAAATTTTTTGTTTAAAAAGAAAATGGCCAATTTTGCACTAATTGTAGGATAATAATCCAATACTTGCTACTAACATAGAATATTGGCAAACATTTTCATAAAGAAACAATTGATTTTATGATAAATGGCGTAATTGACGCCTGGAAACAAAACTCATAAAACTTAACCATAATAATGAATCATGATTAACGAAATATAAAGTCCACAAACCTACTCGTCTACTTCTAATACATCATTAATTAAAAGCTTAAATTAATCGATTTGTCAGAAAGTCGTAACTTTTCCCAATTTTAATCCCAGAAGCTTTCTTTGCTTCCGGGCGCTTAGTTTGGATAAAAGATTTTTCGTGCCTTCGATTATTTCTCGTTCATCGTCGTCTTCGTCAGCTTCGGGATCCTGACAGGATACAAATCCGCTTTCTGGTCGTGAAATTGATGATGGTTCGAAGAGTTCAAACCAACGTTCTACTTTTGCTGATGCAGTTAGCTAAAAACAAAAAACACTGTGTTAGCTATTTATGTAACTAGTTTATTCATTATTATCTATTATACTGCATAAAAATATTGAGAACATGCATAAAACGAAAATAAAAAAGAAGAAGCTTACAGAAAGAAGATACAAAATAATGATAAGATAATGGAAAGGAAGATATTTTGTTTATACTTTTTAAACTGGCTTTTGATTCAATATGATGATAAGATATGGTAAAAACATATGGTCAGTAGAGGTGTGTGAAAATTACTCTTCAGTATTCTTAAAAAAATCTTGGACAAACTGGTGAATTAACAAAAAAAGTTAAGTGAAAGTTAAAGTTATATATTAATTCTTACAATTCTACTATAATTACATGCTGATAAATCGGTTTTATAAGAAACAATAAAGAATAAAGTGCTGACTAACCTCAAAATAAAAATAGAAAATCATTAGCAAAACTTAACTTTTTGTAATTCAATAGGAACTTTTAAAGGTGACCATAGACGAATAATTCTCAAAAATAAATTATGAATGAAGAATTAATAAAACGATTCGAAAATATTGTGATAAACGCTAACAATGATATAAAGGGAAGAATTGATGCTGTAGAAATTCGTCCAACTTTAAAGTTAGAGGAAATTAAAAACAAAATCTTTTCATTAGAAACTGAAAACAAGCAACTTAAAGAAAAAATGGAGAAACACAAGAGAACTGAAGAGAAATAATATTTTGATATTTGGTTTAAAACGATCCGATGATCAAATTAACGTTAGTGATATACTAACGAACATTAACGAATTACTTAATATTAAATTAATGACAATGGACATCAATAATATATACAGTCTCAGAAGGGGACTTGAAACACCAATAAAAATCGAGTTTATATCATATTTAAATAAACAGAAGGTGTTCTAAAATATCAAAAACTTGAAGAGTACTAATGTTAGGATAAGTCATGATTATACAGATACACAACTTGAAGAAAATCGCATTTGAAGAAGATATCTGCTGGAGTCTAAAGCCAAAGGGGATACCAATCCTTACATTAAAAACGGAAAACTGTACGTCAATAATACATCACTTTCGGCTGCAGAATTAAAGTCCATTAAAGACGGAGAGACGGAAGACATAAATAATAGTCGACCTCATAGCGATCCAGGTACTCCCTTTTCAAACTCAAACATGTCAATTTTATACTAAGAGCCGGAAAAATTCTAAGAAGTTACGGTACAGTCAGAAACTCTACACTCTAAAAATATTAATATCAGTTCCAAACACAAACCGACCCTCAGAACGAAATCAAACCAAAGTACATCAGCTGAACCAAATCGCAAGGAGAGTAAAACCCATATTGGACTAAGAAACAGAACCGGATCTACAGGAAAATAAATTTATACCCTTTCGGTATTCCGTTTTACTTCTGTATTTATACTTTTTTACCATTTATATTAGTTGGTGTTGATATTAATTGGGAACATATTAATGTATTGGTGTTTGTCTTTTACTTAACAATAATTATTCTAATCATATTTTAAATGAGAAATTAGTTTATAATTAATACTCCTTCGCATATATTTATACTCTGCTTCTTCTTAGTTGTAGCATTGAACGTTGATAGCTAATTTTGATTTTGTTCATTGTTTACACCGCCGTTTGCGTCGATCTTTTCTTAACTACACTCTACTATTGTACTAAGTCTTTTTTGCAAGATATTTGATTTTTTTTTTCTTTGTTTTTTATCATGGATCAATACTAAAAGATTTTGATTTGCCCACTGTCGATACACTGTAAAAAACTAGTGAATGTGATGATATCTTACGGGTAAACCAATTTAACAACAACTTTACTCTACTTCATAATAATATAAGAAGCATATCCAAAATCTTAGATGAACTTAAGCTACATTTAACTGATATTACTACAAGTTTTGATGTAATTGTTTTAACTGAAACATGGAAAATTAATGATATTAATTTGTTTTTTATACCAGGCTAAAACGTAATATATAATAAGGAGGAATTAAATCAAAATGACGGAGTTGTGGCATACATACGGTGTAAATATCTTTTCACCTTCTTCTTCTTCTCGTGCCACTCCTAGCGGAGATTGGAAATCATCATGGCCACTGCGACTTTGTTAGCAGCGCGCCTGAAAAGTTCAATCGAACTACACCCGAACCATTCACGTAGATTACGAATCCACGATATTTTTCTTCTTCCCACACTTCTTTTGCCCTTAATTTTGCCCTGCATGATGTTTCTTAAAAGTTCGTACTTTTCACCTCTCACAATGTGCCCCTAGTATTCCATCTTTCTGGTTTTTATCTCATTTAGAATTTCGCATCTTTTGTCTAAAGTTTGGAGTACTTGCGTGTTAGTGACGCGGTCCATCCATGATATTCTGAGAATGCGCCTATAGCACCACATCTCGAAAGCTTCGATGTTTTTTATGGTCAACTGTTTTAGTGTCCAAGCCTCAACTCCATATAACAGGGTAGAAAAGACATAACACCGCAGTATTCGGATTCGTAACTTTATATTGATATCACGATTGCAAAAGAGTTTGCGCATTCTATTAAAGACTGATCTAGCGATTTCTATTCTACATCTAATCTCTTTTGTTTGATCAGCATCGTCTGTGATCCAAGCACCTAGATATTTATAACAGGGCACACGCTCAATCGTTGTATTGTCTATTACAAGATTAGCTCTGATGTTCTTTGATTTCGTGATTACCATAAATTTAGTTTTTTTCAAATTAATTTTCAAGCCGTAACTGTTACAGTATATATTGAGACTTTGAACGAGATGTTGTAGTTCTACTAGCGTTCCCGTTAGGAGAACTGTATCGTCAGCATACCTTATATTGTTGATCGTCTCACCATTTATTATCAGACCAAGATCTTCTTCCTCGAGTGCTTGTTCACAGATAGCTTCACTATAAAGATTAAATAAAAGTGGCGATAAGATACATCCCTGCCGGACTCCTCGACGGATTTGAATTTCTTCTGTTAGTCTGCCCTCAACCTTGACATTTGCTGTTTGATTCCAATATAGATTGCATATAATTCGAATATCTTTTCACCTACGATATCGTAATATTAGGACCAACCAATATTTTAAAAATTAAATTAACTGTTGATAATAGCTATACAATTATGGTTCTTGCGTTTTATCGATCACCCTCTAAGGAAAAATATAATTCGAGTATTTCTGAGTTTATTAATAATTTACAACATTTTTTACACAACACTGATACCAACTCTGAAAGTTACTATCTGTTTGTTGGAGATATTAACATTGACCTATTGAATTAAAATGACGATACCATGGAAAATACAAGTACCCTGAGTGAGTGCGGATTTACATCTATTATAAATAACCCAACTCGAATAACAGCTTGTTTAGATCATATATATGTAAAACCAATAGTTTGGAGAATATTATTCCTCTAGTAATAGAAATTGACATAACAGATCACTTTGCAATACCATTACAAATAGTTATTAGAAAAAAAAAACAACTAAAAAGACAAATGATTATTATGCTAAACGAATCACCTACAAAAGGCTAATAGATATTATTTCTAAACAATCTTGGGACTTTATCCTAAAAAATAGTAGCCCGGATTGAGCAACAGATCAATTAATAGCAGTTATCCAGCAAAATATTAACAAATGTACTTATTATGAAAAAAGAAAGAGAAAAAACACAAAAATTACACTTCATTCAAAAGCTTCATCTGAATGACCATGATTTACTGCTACTATAAACAGTAAAAAACTTTACTGTTTATAGCAATAAACAATTGTGGAGAGTAGTGCAAGATCTTAGTGGTACAAAAAAAGGAAAAATGACTATCGACAGTCTTAAAAACCAAATGGGAAATATAATATTTTGACTCATCTCTCCGATATTGCAAATGAATTTAATAAGACGTTTATGGAGATGGGCAAAATATTGGTTGAACAAATCATTAGCCAGGTGTATGATAATACCTCCTTGAAAAACTCAATGGTTTTACTACCTACCAATACATTTGAAATGAAAACAATAATAAATCAACTGAAAAGTAAAAAGGCAACTGGCATTGACGATATTAATTCAAAATGTTTGAAAACAATTTCACCACACATACTCGAACCATTGGTTCACATTTTCAATATATGTATGGAAGAAGGTTGATTTAGTACATCATCTATAACATAAACTCACTTACGTTGACACAATGTGAAGAAATTAAAAAGAAATTCCTCCACAGTTCTTTGGCTCTCACTCCTTCATCTCTTGGACGCGGTTGTCCCAGTTTCGGCTTCATTGTTCTTGTAGCGCCGTTTTTACTCTCTTTTTAGCTGATTTTCCCCGTTTTTGTCCCAATTTCTTCCTTCTAACTCTCTTTTTGGCTCTGTTCTTTTTCCTTATCGTATCCTTTACTTCCTGGTTTATATCTCTAAATATTCCTATGTGTATGTCTATTTCAACTTCCGTAGTGCTGTTTCTAAGCTTCTTGTATGATATTTTTAGACTCTAGGACTCTCCGCTTTATTTCTTGTGGGTTGTTGACTAAGTGGGTTGAACATGGGAGGAAAACATTACGAAGAAAAGGACTAAAAAGAAGACAAAGTGATTAAAATACAAATGACTTATGAGCGTTGGAATCGACGATGTACCGTTGTACATCGTTGATTCCAACGCTCATAAGTCGTTTGTATTTTGATCACTTTGTCTTCTTTCTAGTCCTTTTCTTCATAATGCTTTTCTCCCATGTTCCTACTTAAAATGGTATGGGGTTGAGGTCTGTTGTTTCTTTAGTATCCGTAGTTCTGTTTGGAGTCCTAGGCTCTAGTAACTATTATAACGAAATTGGTTGGTTGAGCATTTCCTGAGAATTGGGTCGGCTCGATGGGCCATATTGCCATGGTATCGTCATTAATTTCTAGATAAGATTTAGGAGTCGTCCGTTTCTGTTCGTTGCTCTATTGTTTCAATTTGGGGATCTCGTTTATGATT